CCTGAACTCCTGATCCTTTCACTCCTTCTAGAAGATTAAATTTACCCCTTTCTAAGGTGACTAGTACAAATCTGTCTGGTTGGTCTTAATAATCTTTTATGTTTCTGTCAACTGTAAGGTTCGGTGATTGATTTATTGATGGCCCAAAGAAACGTAAGTGCATTTGTTGGTCTAGAGTATTATATTGAGTCAGGCTACCATGGAATAAAAACAGAGGAAAGAATGAAATACGGTGGAAAGGAATTATCCTTACCCTCTGACATCCCTCTCCATTCTGTAATGATCATTTCCTTGCTGATTTGCCCTTGTAGAGAGCTATTTGCTTCAAAGGGAATAGCATTATTTTTGGGTAGAAAAATATCAGGTAATGGTAAGTTTGCTATTACTTCTGGAAACCTGTGATTTAGGACATTATTAAAACTGCCGGTAGCCATTCTAGAGGTAAGGGAGATCAAAAGCTATGTCCCAGAGGCCATCTCAAAACTATGAAACTCAGTTCCCTGCTTGCTAGCATCTGGGAGTAGAGAAATTAGGCTCTGACAATAAATGTAAAAATGCTTTATAAACCAGAACAGGCTCTACAAATGCCAGTTATTTCCATCTTTTCTGAAAGACTGTTTGCAGAAATATTTGCCTGAAGACCCTGTAGTACATAAAATGAAGCAACAGTAATTCAAAGGCAATTGTATTCCTTTTTAAAGCATATGTTTTATTGCAGCATGGGAAAGTAAACCTCATTTTCTGCCTAATGCCCACTTGACAGACTTGGTGGAATAAAAAGTCACCCACCATCTCTCATGTACTGCATAAGCATGTGCTGAAGCAGGATTGTTATTGAGTAACCACAGCACAAAATGAAAAGCACTTTGTCATCATGTCTCCTCGACTGCTGTGTGAATGCTAAACATCCAATAAAAACTATGAGCACTAAGCATGATTAGTATTAGAAAGACTTTCACCCATTTTTGGGGAGAAAATATGCACTACGTAGTTATGATCAGGAGAATGACTAGCCATGTGCAAATAAAAAGAAAAAAAGGTCGGATTCCTAGTGAGTAACGTTTACCATTAGTACTCAGAGATACACTGAAATGAAAACAGGAACATTAAAAGAAAAAAAGAAGTAGCAAAACAGAAACATCATCTGTATGATTTGACAAGAGAAAACTTTTCCCTCCCATCAAACCCAATCACACATATCTTACTTATTGATACTTATATATATATGAAGATGACTTTCTCTAGTTCAAGGCTTTGCTCCTGGTTAAAACACAAATTGCTGGGAAAGAAATATGGTTTGGATCTGTGCCTCCACCAAATCTCATGTCGAATGGTGGATTTCTCATGAGTGGTTTAGTACTGTCCCTCTTGGTAGTGTCCTCATGATTGTGATAGAGTTCTCATGAGATCTGGTTGTTTAAAACTGTATAGCACTCTCTGTCTCTCTCTGTCTCTGTCTCTGTCTCTCTCTCTCTTTCTGTCTTGTTGCTCCAGCCATGTGATGTGCCTGCTCCCCCTTCACCTTCTGCTATAATTGTGTTTCCTAAGGCCTCCCTAGAAGCTGGGCAGATGCTGGCATCATGGTTCCTGTACACTCTATGGGACCAAAATCCAATTAAACCTTTTTTTCTTTATAAATTACCCAGTCTCAGGTACATATATATGTGCATATATGTGTGTGTGTGTGTATATATATATATATATATATATATATAAGTTATATTTTTTTTTTTTGAGACAGAGTCTCGCTCTTGTCACCCAAGCTGGAGTGCAGTGGTGTCATCTTGGCTCACTGAAACCTCCACTTTCCAGGTTCAAGTGATCTGGTGCCTCAGCCCCTGAGTAGCTGAGGGTACAGGCATAGGCTGCCACGCCCGGCTAGTTTTCGTATTTTTAGTAAAGACGGGTTTCACCATGTTGGTCACGTTGGTTTTGAACTCCTGACTTCAGGTGATCCACTTGCCTTGGCCTTGGTCTCCCAAAGTGCTGGGATTACAGGCTTGAGCTACCGCACCCAGCCAGGTATATCTTTGTAGCAATGTGAGAATGGCCTAATACAGAAAGGGAGCAGTTAGAATTTCTCGTCATTTATTGCTTTATTGCTTAGTGTCTGGCTCTATTTTGAAGCAGGAGGATGGCTTCTATATGGAGCAGAGGGAGAATGAAGGGGCAAGAAGCAGCCCCTGCTCTCTCCACAGTCTGCTCAGGGCCAGAGTAATCCGGGATGTTGCAGCAGACCCACCCAATACCCATCCTTCTCTGTGGTGTCAAAGTCTCAATTTTCATTCTAGGTAGACATGTGTTCAGTGATGGACCACGTTTCCAAATTTTCCTCCATCTCATTTCTTGCAGCTAGGGATGGCTAATAAGGTATGGCACAAGTGGTTTAGCAGAACTTCCCAGAATACTCCTAAAAAGGAAACAGGCCCTTAAGAAGCATGTTGTTTGCCTCCCCACCTCTTTTCTCCTTCTTTCTGCCAAGAATGCAGACGTGATGACCTACAAAGGGCTGGTGCTCCAGCAACCATCTTGTAAGTGTGAGGATTAGAGCCAGTACTGTTGGAACAGAGAGCTGAAAGGAGGCTGGATTCTTGGTGAAGTATGGAGCTCTTATGCCAGCCCTGAACTACTCACCATTGGACTTACTACATGAGAGAGAAAGAAATCTATCTTAGTTAAGCCACTCTTTTGTTTTTTTTAGGTATCTACTACTCATACTTGAACTCAATTTCTAACTGATATAGATGTATATACACTTGCATAGCAAACACAAAAGAAAAATAAAATACAACAAAATTTAAAAACCCTAGCCAGAGTTCTGTATCTGGTTCTGGATCCCACAACTAAGATGGATTTGGACAGCTTGTTAAGCTTTGACAGCAGATCCCTGTTACACACACACAACCCACACACCCCACACCACACACCACACAAGCAATACCTTGTCCAAATACATGTATGAAACATGTGATTTTCTGTACTATTCTACTGAGTTTCATGACAGGAATCTTTCTTGTTTTCAAGTAGTTCACAATCCATGATAGATCATGCAGATGCAGGCACAATAAAATACAGAAAAACAATAACTACAGACACAAGTTAAAAACACTAGGAATATTTGGAGATAATATAAAAACTGATAGAGAATGTCTATCCAAAAAGATTATTGTACAAAGAATTGTGACCTGGCAGTTCACATATCATGTGAGAACAAAACTAGCAGGAATGCTCCTGAAATAGAAAGGATTTTACAACAAAATGAACCTTCAGAGACGGATTTACTGAGAAATCAATGCAACTGACACTTCAGGGTCCTGCCTCTGCATGGCCCCTTCCAACATCCCAGGAAACATGCTAGACATATGTTCACAGGTTCCTTCTATTTTTGTAAAATTTGTATTATAATTACACATTTTCATCATTATCAGTTCTGATCACTGCTTCTTTCCAGCCTGACTTTCTCTGTGTCATACTTCCCTTGTGTTGGGTGGGGGCAGAACAAATCGGGGCATCTCTGGGATCCAAGTAACAGGACATTGAGCTAAGAATGACTTTAGTTTGCATTTAGTGAACTACAGTTATGAGCATCACAACCACTTCCAAGTGTAGTTACGCTGTTCCCAGCCATTTGGTGAGGAAATGTATTCCAGGAATCTTCCTGTGTCCACTGTGGCATTATGACCTGAAGGTGTGGGTCCAGAAGCATTGCCCTACAACATCCCATACCTGAAGTATCTGAGCAGTAACAGAGAACTAGGTTTGAAATGTACAGAGCCAGAAGATACTCTGAAATGTTCTTTCAGTAATCTGATGTGTAATATTTTTTATTTTAAAAACGTGGTAAAACACACACAAGATAACATTTATCATCTTAACCATTTTTAAGTGCACAGTTCAGTGGTATTAATTGCATTCACATTGTTGTGCAGCCATCATTACTATCTATCCACAGAACTATTTTCATCTTGTGAAACTGGCACTCTGGACCTATTAAATATGGTTGTCACAAAAAAGACAAATATTTATATGATTCCATTTTTGTGAGGTTTCTACAGCCATCAGATTCATAGAGACAAGAAGTAGAATGGAGGTTTTCCATTCCCCTTTCTCCCAGTACCTGGCAACCACCATTTTACTTTTTGTCTCTATGAATTTGATTACTCAAGGAATCTCACATAAACGGAATCATATAAAATGTGTCTTTTTTGTGACAAGCATATTTCACTTGGCATAATGTCATGAAGTTTCAGCCATGGTGTCTCATGTGCCAGAATTTCCTTCCTTTTTAAGGCTGAATAATATTCTCTTATATGTTCTTTATTTATTCATCTGTTGATAGACACTTTGGCTCTCTTCCATTTCCTGACTACTAAGAAAATGCTGCTATAGACAGGGGTGTCCATATATCTCTTTGAGTCACTGCTTTCAGTTATTTTGGTGTACTTTATGTTTAAAATTTTAAGTGGAGGATTAATTTCTCATTGATGCCTAGTTAAAATGGAAGTTCTTGAGCCTTGGGAGTATCTTTCTTTTTTTTTGAGATGGAGTCTCCCTGTGACCCATGCTGGAGTGCAATGGCACGACTTAGCTCACTGCAATCTCTGCCTCCCAGGTTCAAGTGATTCTCCTTCCTCAGCCTCCCAAGTAGCTAGGATTACAGGCACCCACCACCACATCCCATTCATATTTGTATTATTAGTAGAGATGGGGCTTCACCATGTTGGTCAGGCTGATCTCTATCTCCTGACCTTGGGTTCCACCCACCTCAGCCTCCCAGGAGTATCTTTTATGCAATATAGGCAATTATAAACACACCACATCTATAGTTTTTTCCTTTTTTCATGGGAATTACACAAAACAGAGTTTATTAGACTTTCTGTATTTGGAGGCACAAACCTATGGCAATACAACAAAACAGTTATGATGTCCATGTGTGAAGTCATGTTTTATTCATCCCAGCTGTCAAAAAAATATTTTGATCAACTATACTAAAGACTGACTTATCTTTCTATTTTCTCTGTAGAAAATGTTATAAAATCATTCTTAAGAAGAGGCGATCAAATAATATGTGACCAACAAATGTGAAAAACAAGTACGAGACAGTTGAGTTAGGTAGTTAATGCACAAAACATATTTTGTTATTTTTCCAGATTTTGTGGTTTTTGTAGTCTTTGTAGGTTAGCTTTTAAAAATGTGCAGTTTGTTATGGCTTCTTATGCTGAATGTGTATTTCCATTCATACCTATTTCTGTATGTGTAACGTTGTGTTGATTTCTTAAGGAGGGACCCAAATCGTTTATGTTTTGGGCCCACAAAACCTGGATCCTCCCCTTTGGGGAGGGGCCTCAATTGCCTTGGCTCAGGAGATCTCGGTTTTCTTCATCTCTTTCCCACTAGATTTCCTGCCTCCTCTCCTTTCTTGTGCTTAAGTGTGTCCTGTGCAATGTGTGTGGCTTTTCCCATGGGGTACTTAGGCTGGGACTGAACAAGTCTAGCACTGATAGGTGTCATTCCACTGGGTACTCCATCAGAGGTGCTGGCTGGAGTCAAAGTGGAAACCTTTTGTTGCAACCAACGGGAGCTAGTGGAGAGGGTTCTGGTGAAGGCTTGGGAGGTTCATGCCTAACTCAAGAATAGGCACTTAGTGGGTAATGAGCCATGAGCTTCTTTGAACTCATAGTTACCTTTCAGTTCTTGGGTAAATTCCACAGGATAGGGTTAGAGGCTCCTTCACCAACCCCTCTCTCCTTACCCCCTTGTTAAAGGCCCTGATTTCTTCTTGGTCTGGAGGAAATCCCCCTCTTTCTTTGAGTATTTATCACAGATGCTTCTTCTCTTCTGAACATCTTTTCTCTTACTCTTTAAAAATAGACCCTGGATTCTTTATCAGCCCAATATCTAATCCTTCTTTCCTGGGACAGCAGGAGAGGCAGTTAATCTTTAAGTCCTCCCAGAAGAATAAGAGAAACACTTATATTCTATCCCTTTAAAGCAGCAAAATAAGAGAAGAAACGCCACAGTTGCTCTATTGAAACAGCCTCACTCATTCATATCCTGACAGATAAATAACAAGGATTAAAAAAAATTTGGGTGTGGAAGTGAGCTTAGAGGTGCTATAGTCAACCCCTATACTTTCACAGATGAAGTAAGTGAAATTCATAGAGGGTAAATGATGCTGCCAACGTCAAATCCTGTGAACCACAGAACCAGGCCCATCCAGATTTCTTAGGCTGTGGTCCAGTGTGTTATCTTCTCTGATATATTCAGGTTGGATGTGGTGATAAAGTTTTAGATAGAGTTGTTGAATGTCATAGTTGTTGAATCTATTTATGAAAATAGATTTAATGTGTGCCTATGCAACAATCTTGCATGTTCTTCACATGTACCCCAAAGCCTAAAATGCAATAAAATTAAAAAATAAAATAAAATAAAATACAAAAGTGAAAATAAAAAAAAAAAGAAAATAGATTTAGAAGCTTTTTGCTGGAGGTTTAAAAAAATTGAGTAAGTTCTCATTTATTTGAATTGGCTTTAGAATGGGCCATCTGAAGTTTTCAAAAAAGGCTATATAGATTTTCAAAATATTTTTAGCCTTAAGAGTATGATTTTTATTCATGCATCTTCTTTTGCAAGTATTTCTTGAGGCACCTTTTATAAGCAGAACGCCATGTTATGCACACAGAATAAAATTACGGGACAAACAACGGAATGTAAAACAGGGTCCAACTCCTGGCAGCTTAAAATCCAATTGGGGAGCAAATGCTGCCTTCCTTCACATACAAACACATACACACATATTTAATAATACTACCTATCAATATAGGTTACTTCTCAAAATTGTGATACAGAGAGTTGAACATCATTCCATCTGTGTGGGCAAAATATTCATTGGACCAGATCTCCTTAAATAGAAACGTGTACTGGATTGTATTACAGATAATTACAAGTCATAGCTATTATTTTGAGTGTTTTCTGAGTTAAGGCACACTCCCCATCTCAATCATATTAGGTTTCTGTGCAGATGTCCTAGGTGGTAACACATCTCCCTGATTAGATAAGGCCTGCAAACAGGGAAGTTAACTCAAGGAGATGGCTCAGGAGGACACCATTGCCCCAACACCAAATGAAAGGAAAGAATCAGTATAAATGTCTTGAAACCGTTGCATTTTTTTTGTCCAGGATTCACCCCCTGCTTTTGTGGGTATGTGAGAGTGTGTATGTGTTGGGGGGTGTTAATTGGCATTCCAGTCTGCAATCTTCAAAGCAACAATGCAATCAGAATAATTTTAAAGTGTTCATTTCCTTCCCCTTATTCCCTTCATTGCCCTTTCGCCCATTCAACCCTCTAGGTGATTCTGGTCTTCTCACCGTAAGATTCTCATAGCTGGGGGTATATGTGTGTGCCTGCAGGGTCACAGGGGAGAGATAAGGGAAGTTGATGTGAGACGAGAGCTTGGTACATTCCAGAGATAAGAATGAGCACTGCTTTTGGAGCAGAGTCCTTGGTAGGTGGTAGAAACTCCTAAGAAAGGGAGTGGTTTGAGACCAAAAGGGTTCTGTAACTTAGAAAGCAGAGTCCTGGGGAAGTTGAAAGACTGCAAAGAGAAAATGAATGTCTGCACAGAGTCAAGACTTACAGGGTGTGGACAGCTTTGTAGGCTCCCACAAGTTTCCATGTCTTAATGGAGCAGGGAACCAGTAAAGTGATCATGATGCCTGCATGGAAGTAGGAGATGGGATCAGATCATGGGTTTGGGGAATGTCTTAGCCATGCCTGCATGGGCTGCAAACAAAAACCAGTTGCCTCTCTTCCCAAAGCTTGGCATGACATTGACTTTCTGAAACTCAGACACAACCCTAGGAAAGGGTGAAACTCTTTAACTTACAGGAGAAGAGCTTCCTGCCATCTGAAAGGAACAGGCCTTCTGAATAGAAGACAAGCTTTGCTATAGAAGAATGAAATTTTATTTTCAGCACCCCTGAATTCATTTATTGAGATTCATATGCACTATACCAATTTATTTTCCTCCATAAAATATGTCTTAAACAATTACTCTTGTCTTTGTTTGAACAGTTGAAGTTTCACAGGCAGGAGTCAGATAAAAATTTATACAATCTTCCTAAAACTGTGTGGCTTCCTGTGGGTCCAAACCAATTTCTGGTATCTGTGTAGACTTCAGAAACTTCAGTCTAAAAATCTGATCTGACGCTTGGAAGAAATACAACCTTCAGCAAAACCCACCAGGGTCATCCTTCACATGGCTTGGTCTCTCCACCGGAAATATTTCTGGACAGGTTGTTGTGGGGCCTATATGTTGGGACTCAGCTGGAATTTACAAAATGCAAAACTGGAATTGATCAATGTGGTGTTAGCTACACTCACATGCTCTGAAAACAGAACCATCTTAGCAGAATGCAGAAAATGAGGCAGTACAACATGCCCTAAGCCAAAGCACACCAGCAGCCTATTTGGTGGAGGAAGGAGGGTGAAGCAGCAGGGAGTGATCAGAGGCCACATACTGGAAAATCACCTAAAACTTCATGGTCAGAGGGCTTCTGGAAGGCTGACAAGTAGGTGAAGGCCACTTCTTCGAGAGTGCAGATTAAATGCTTCACAGGCCAGGCAACAAAATTTAGAGAGGTTATTGAGTCCCATCAGCATTAGTTAAAGTCTTGCCTACTGACTAGAGTCCTTTTTTGAAAATTGAGGTAAAGTTAACATAAAAAAATTAACCATTTAAAAATGTACAATTCAGTGGCATTTAGTACATTCATGATGTTGTGTAACCACGACCTATGTCAGGGTTCAAAGTATTTTCATCACCCCAAAAGAAAACCCTGCACCCATTAAGTGGTTATTCTCTAGTCCCCTCTCATCCTGGTTCTTGACAGCCATCAATCTGCTTTCTGTCTCTATAGATTGACTTTTTTTCTGGGTAGTCAGAAAATGTATTAATGCAATAGGTGACCTTTTGTGTCTGGTATCTTTCATTTAGTATAATGTTTTCAAAGTTCATCCACTTCATACCATTGAGTAGTTCTCATTTGATACCTCACTTTGAATGGACACAGAAAAAGTAAAACTTAATTATATGCTTTAATCATAGCTTTAGAAAGAAGAGACCTAGGGTCTAGTTCATTTCCCCACATAGACTTCTTTCCTAGATTCTTTATCCTCATTTGAAGTGGACATTAGTTGTTTTGACTGTCCGATCTCCGAGTCCCTGGTAAACAGCTCATGATTTATGTGGGTCACAGCTCCTCCCTCACTCAGCCTTTGGAGTTCAGGTGAAGCTAAGCTGATCTGACTTCCTCACTTCTTCAGTGGGTAGGTACTGACTTCAGATCTGTCCAATAAGGGCTTCCATTTGTTTGTCCACCATTCAAGAATGGAACATAGTCCAGTTGCAGGGGTTCCTCTTAGAACTACAGAAATGTGCTTCCTTCCTTTTGCACCTGAAGCTGAATGGTGTAAGCCTGCCAGGGATCTCCATGCAGAGAGCCAAGCCAACACCAAAGAAAACAAAGGGAAAAGAAGGCATGAGACCATTGAATCCTGGGACAATGTTGAGTCACTTTGTCCAGATATCTTTTATTAGTAATATGTTTAATTAGTTGCAAGCCTTTCCTTCTTTTTTTGTGACAGTTTGAGTTGAATTCTGATCATTGCAGCCTGTCACTGTAAGGCACAAACATGACCACACTCGGCCGGGCGCGGTGGCTCACACCTGTAATCCCAGCACTTTGGGAGGCCGAGGCGGGCGGATCATGAGGTCAAGAGATTGTGGCCATCCTGGCCAACATGGTGAAACCCCATCTCTACTAAAAAAATATAAAAATTAGCTGGGCATGGTGGCGTGCTCCTGTAGTCCCAGCTACTAGGGAGGCTGAGGCAGGAGAATTGCTTGAATCCAGGAGGCGGAGGTTGCAGTGAGCCGAGGCTGCGCCATGGCACTCCAGTCTGGCGCCTGGCGACAAAGCAAGACTCTCAAAAAAAAAAAAAAAAAAAAAAAAAATGACCATACTGATCTAAGGCTTAGACAATGTGAATAAGGAGGACATTGTCTCCTGGTGCCTAGGAAGTTCCTTAGAGCTCTTCCCTGGAAGTGAGGACTCTGATGGTTTTATATTTTCCTGGTTTGTCTGGTTGTGTTTTAAACATATAATTTTGTTAGAGTAGTGGTGGCAAAGTAAAATAACATTCGGAGTTTTGATATTTACCTACTTATTTATATCTTTAATCTTAAATATTTTTAGTGCAAGTTTATATGAAAGGAGAAACAACACTAAACTTCTTTCTCTTTGGTTTTGTGACCTTAGATCCTTGATAGGAATGCCCTTTTTAGTTCAACAGATTGAAGGATAGAATTTCATTCATTAGCATAGAAAACAATCTCGGTCATTTTACCAATAAAAAACCCTGAGGAATAATATTTTATGTCCTCAAGGTCTTTCTGGTTCACGTTGTCCTACGAATTACAAAAACAAAAAAACTTTAAAAAATTACAGGCATTTTAGGATCTGTCTTTTTAGATTCTAATGTTTCACACTAATACAGATGGAGACTTTTCCTATTCCCTAAAGCCATTCTCCTCTCTAACAACAAGACTCAAGATTTTAAGATAAACTTTAAACTACAATTTGGTAAAAAGTAACTAGAAGTTTCTGACATTTTGAGCTGGATGAAAGAGAAATCCCTCCATTTTCTCTTTTGCTTTAAATGAAAATAAGATAAATTATAGAAAAGTAGTCTCAAGGATATACTATTTTAGCTAAGGATTTCTTTTATTAACATAGGGATTCACTTTGCCTTTGGATCTTTTGCACATAGCATTGGAAGTGAAATAGCTTTATAAAAAGTCACCTTAGCCTACAGAGGTTAATGAATCAATTCTGTAAAAAATTTAGAGTTTGTATATTTTTAAAACCCTAAATAATCTAGATATTGTTATGGGTTGAACTGTGCCCTCCCAGAAGATATGTTGAAGACCTAACCCCTAATTTCTCAGAATGTGAACTTATTTAGTGATAAGGCTGTTGCAAATATAATTAGTTAGGATGAGATCATATTGGAGTAGGGCAGGCCCCAATCCACTATGACTGGTGTCCTTATGAGAAGACAGCCATGTGAAGACACAGAGAAACACATTGAGAATGCAATGTGATAATGAAGGCCGAGGATGGAATTGTGCTGCTACAAGCCAAGAACACCAAAGATTGCCAGCAAACACCAGAAGTTATGAAGGACTTCCCTGCAGCTTTCAGAAGGAGCACGGACCTACTGATATCTTGATTTCAGACTTTTGGCGTCCAGCACTGTGAGGTGATACATTTCTGTTGTTTTAAGCCACCCAGTTTGTAGTACTTTGTTATCAAAGTCCTAGGAAACTAATACAGCCTTTTGATAATAATTATTATTTTTTATAATCTTAGAAAAAGAAAATATACCATAAATCAGATCCTACCTATGTAAATATCAGCAGACCTCAAAAGGTCACTTGGCAATACTGTGACTCATGATCTTTAAAAAAAAAATCTGAAAATTTTTTTTTAGAAGACTGTTCTTTGGATAGAGCTCAGAGTATTCTGAACAGATGATGGAAAGCATGTGGTATCCTATGCAACTACTGTATTCTTGCCGGGGACCCAGTTGCTTCTTGAGCCCAGAGGTTCTTAAACTCTTATATAAAAACCCTCTCAGTGGGATTTCTGCATTCCCTTTCTATCTTCCCCTTCTTCCTATTTTCCCTTGCCCCACTAAAAAAAAAAAACCAAAAAAAAAAAAAAAAACCAAACCAACCAGGGAGTAGATGGGTCACCAATGATATAACTGATTTGTTGTCTTATTTCATCTATTTTATTTGCCCCTCCAGCTTTATTAAGGTATAATAAAAAAATAAAATTTATACACATATATATTCAAGGTGTGAATGTGATAACTTGAGATATATACACATTATGAAATGATTGCCATAATAGAGTTAACACATCCATCACTCCAACAGTTATGATTGTGTGTGTGTATTTGTGGTGAGAATGCTTGGGATCTCTTAGCAAATTCCCAGTAGACAACTGCAGTCACCAGGCTGTACATGAGATCCTCAGAACTTATTCAGCGTATAGCTGAAAGATTGTACCCTTTGACCAATATCTCCCTGGGCAACTACCATTCTACTCTCTGTTTCTATGAGTTTAACTAGTTTAGATTCCACATTGTATTAGGCTGATCTCACACTGCTGTAAAGAAATACCTGAGACTGAGTAATTTATAAAGAAAAGAGGTTTAATTGGCTCATGGTTCTGCAGACTGTACAGGAAGCATAGTGGCTTCTGCTTTTGGGGATACCTCAGGAAGCTTTTACTCATGGCAGAAGGCAAAGCAGGAGCAAGCACAGGAGAGAGAGTGGGGAGGTGCTACAACTTTTAAACAACCAGATCTCACAAGAACTCACTATTAGAACAGCACCAAGGGGATGGTGCTAAACTGCTCATGAAGAATCTACCCCCATGATCCAGTCATCTCCCACCAGGCTCCGCCTCCAACACTGGGGATTACAGTTCAACATTAGATTGGGCAGGGACACAGATCCAAACCATATCACACATATAAGTGAGTCTATGCTGTATATGTCTTTCTGTGCCTGGTTAATTTTGCTTAGTATAATGTCCTCTAGGTTCATTTATGTTGTCACAAATGGCAGAATTTTCTTTTTTATGGCTGATTAATATTGTATTGTATATATGCACCACATTTTCTTTATTCATTTGTTGATAGACACTCAGATTGTTTCCATGTCTTGGCTATTGTGAATGATGCTGCAGTGAACACGGAAGTGCACATATCTCTTCAAGATCGTGATTTCATTTCTTTTGGATGCAATAACCAGAAGTTGGATTGCTGGATCCATATGGTAGTTTTATTTTTAATTTTTGGAGGAAACTCCATAAACTGGAGTACTGAAGAAGACTCCATGATGTTTTCCATAATGGTGGTACCAATTTATATTCCCATTAATGGTGTGCAAGTGTTCTCTTTTATCTAAATTTTTGTCAACATTTGTTATTTTTGTCTTTTTGGTAACAGCCATTCTAACTGGGGTGAGATGATATCTCACTGTGGTTTTGATCTGCATTTCCCCAATGATTAGCGATGTTGAGCATTTAAAAAATATACCTATTGTGCATTTGTATATGTCCTTTGAAAAATGTCTGTTTAGGTCCTTTGACCGTTTTTAAATTGAGTATTTAAGTTTCTTTGCTATTGAGTTTTATGAATCCCCTAAATATTTTGGATATTAACCCCGTATCAGCTATATGGTTTGCAAATATTTTCTCCCAACAACAGATTTGTTTTTAATGTGATGAATCCATGTTTTTGCCCAACCCATGAAATAATCCAAACATTCAAGAATCCAGACTGGCAGCGACCTGGAGAATGTTGCCAGCCTCCAGTTCTTTCTGGGTAGCACCTTGAGAATTGCTGTGATAATTACCTAGTGGTGGTTCCTAACTCTGGTTGCACATTAAAATCACCTGGGAAGCTTTTGAAGCCTTCTCACTCCAGACCACTTAAATTAAAAAATTCTAGGAATAGGGCCTAGGCACCACTGATTTTTTTTTTGTTTTTTTAAAGATAATCAGGTGATTCTAACATACAGCCAGAGTTGAGAACCAGTGGCTTACTGTCATGTTGGGTTACTGCTGGAGTTCAAATGCCCTAATAACAAGAGGCAGAGGTGAGCACCACTCTGCTTCTCACAGCCTTCTGCTTTTTGTCTGATTGGAGTTATATAAAGCCCAAGTGGAACTAAGACGAAGCATGGTAATTGTCATGGCAATGCCCTAGATTTTCCTATCAAATCCAATCTTGTTTAGGGTGAGAGACACAGAAGTGACTCTTGTGAAGTTAAAATACTTCTGCCTCTATTTAGAATATTCAGCATTAAATTTGACAGAGTTTTGCCATGTAATTTCAAATACCAAAACTTTAAAAAACAGCAGATTTCACCTGAACCACAAAAGTTTATCATTAATTGTAAAGTGTGCTTGATCACAGAGAATTATCTAGGCAATCAGCATCATGCATAGCCTTTAATGCCTCTGTCTGCTGAGCATGAGTTCTGCATATTGATCACAAATTTCAAAATTTCTCTGCTTATGCCTCATCACTCCTGTCTTTGATTGAGTATAACATAAGTGGAATTTGAAAATCATGGAGCTGGAATGGACCTGTGGAAATCATTTGTCTAGTGCTTTGCCTTTACAATTGTATGTCTAATCTACTAAGACAGTTAGGCTACCAAGGTCCCTTGTTAAATTGATGAATGCCCTAGCATGGACAACTGCAACATCCTTCTAACTGGCTCCGTCTTCCTGTCCCCCTTTTTTTCATGTTACAGTCAGAATGATCTTTCTACATACAAATGTAAACAGGTCACTCTCTTCTTTGCTTAATACTCTTTGATGACTCCCCATTTACCTCGGGTCCAGATTTAAACTCCTTAGCCTCACCTACGGTTCTGTGAACTGATCTAACCTTGTTTCCCTCTGTAGTTTCATCTTCTAGAGCTCTCCTTTCTCACTCTAAATTGCAGATGCCACAGGATTCTAAACGTGCTCAATGTAGTTCTCCAAACGTGTCCTCTATGCCACCATACATTTGCACATGCTGTTCTTTCCCTCTCGGATGCTTTAGAATCTAGAAGACTGGGTACACTGTACTTATGTTCTGAATAAGAAGCCTTAGTATTTTGTTTTTGAACAAGAGTTTCACAGTTACGTAATAAGAACAAGGTCAAATCGATTGAGAATAGAACTCTGGGTTTGGTGGTGGTAGTGTTGGTATTTCAGTGTTGGCCATAGTAGGAGAGAGAATGATTTCTTTATGTCTATCTATCAACCATATCTATCTAATCTATCATCTCTATCTATCTGTCTGTCATATATATCTAGCTACCAATCAACTATTATTTGTGTCTCACATACAAAGGTTTTGATTAGTCACACTCCTCAGTTTATGGTATATGATTACTGCTGGTCCACACAAAGCTGTTACTTTTTTTTTTTAAACTTTATTAAAATTTCTATGAATATTCCTCACTCCTATTTTCCTCCTCCCACATAAGAAATGATTTCAATGTATTTAATGAGGATCTTTTTATTTATATGTATTCTTTGGTGTAAATCTATTTTAAATTTTCTTCTAATAGTACTGTGTTCTATATCTCATTCTACATCTTTCTTTTTCACTGTTTTTAGTATCATACATGTTGCTATATGCACAACAGATCTGTGGCTTTTTAACTTCTGCAACCATCATATTTCATCTATCCACCTTCACTTCCTCTACACCAGGTAATGAACACCCAGATGGACCCGGGCTCTCTGTCCCTTCAAGCAACATTGAATTGTATGTTCTCAGATGCCCCTTTCTAGATGTGAGAGACCATATTTGGGATAGGTACTCAGAAATGGGTCCTAGATATGTGCATACCCAATCTGACCAAATGGCACTACAGAGGTACCAAATTGTGATACAGAATGTGGGCCGGTTTCCACGCCCTCCAGCAGTGCATGGTATCCCCACCTCTCCACTGACACTTGGCATTTCCCAGCTTCCTAATATCTGCCCATATTACAGGAGTAAAGTGATACCTTATTTGTTTTGCTTTTGTTTCTTTAAGCAGATTTAATTTTTAGAGCTGTTTCAGATTCACAGTAAAATTGGACAGAAGGCATAGAAAGTTCTTATAGCTTCCCCACCCTTCACCATTCTCCCCATAATCAACATCTGGCACCAGAACAGTACACTTGTTACAACTGATGAACCTGCATTGACACATCATTATTACCTAAAGTCAGTAGTTTTCATTAGGGTTTGCTCTTGGTGTTGCATGTTCTATAAGTTTTGACAAATGTATGATGACCTGTATTCACCATTATGGTATGATACACAATAGTTTCATTGCCTTAAAAATTCTCTGTGGTTGGCCTCCTTATCCTCTGGCAACCGCTAATCTTTTTGCTGTTTTTGTAGGTTTGTTTTTTCCAAAATGTTATATGGTTGGAATCATACAGTATATAGCCTCATCGGATTGGCTTCTTTCACTTAGTAATACGCATTTGTGGTTCCTCTATTAACTTTTATGGTTTGAGAGTTCCTTTTTTTATTTTTAGTGCTGAATAATTTTCCTTTAGTTAGATGTTGTCTTAGTCCATTTTGTGTTGCTAAAACAGAATAACTGAGAATGTATAAAGAAAAGAGGTTTATTTAGCTCACAGTTCTTCAGGCTGGGAAGTTTAATGGCAGTAACCTGGCTTCTGGTGAGGACTTGCATGTCACATCATAACATGGTGGAAAAGTTCAAAGAGGAAGGGGCACATGCAAAGAGAGAGAATCGAGGGGCTTCCTGATTTCATAACAACCCGCTCTCGAGGGAACTAATGTATTCTTGGAGAAGTAACCCGGTCTCACCAGAATGAGAACACACTCACTCTTGTGAGAATGGCAGTAAGTCATTTATGAGGCATTTACCCCATGACCCAAACACCTCCCACTAGGCCTCATCTCCCAAAACCACCACATTGGGGATCAAATTTCAACATGAGTTTTGATGGGGACAAATGATATCCAAACCATAACAGATATATTACAGTTTATTTATCCATTTACCTACTGAAGGATGTCATATTTGCTTCTAAGTTCTGACAATTGTGAAAAAAACAGCTATAAACATACGTGTATGGGGTTTTTTGTGGATATAAATTTTCAACTCATTTAGATAAATAACAGGGAACATGATTGCTGCATTGCATGGTAAGAGTATGTTTATTTTTTAAAGAAACAGCCAAATTGTCATCCAAAGTGTCTGTACCATTTTTGCATTCTCAATGGCAGTTCCTGTTCCTCCATCTTCCCCAGCATTTGGTGTTGCCAGTGTTCTGATCTCTGGCCATTTTTATGGGTACATACTGGTATCTCAATATTGTTTGAATCTGTGTTTCCTTAATGACATATGAAATATATTTTCGTATGCTCATTTGCCATCTGTGTACGTTCTTTGGTGAGGTGTCTGTTCAGGTCTTTTGCCCATTTTTATTTTTAATTTATTTATGTTTTTTTGAGACAGGGTCTCACTCTGTTGCTCACGCTAGAATGCAGTGGTGTGTTCATGGCTCGCTGCAATCTCTGTCTTCTGGGTTCAAGTGATTGTCCTACCTCAGCCTCAAGAATAGCTGGGACTACAGGTGCAAGCCACCAAGCCCCACTTAGTTTTATATTCTTACTAGAGATGGG